TATTAAATCGCTTGAATCAAGGACCCCACCCCTCACCTGCTACCTGAAATAAATGATAATTAGCTGGGCGCTTAAGACTATTGATTTGATTAATTTCATTTATTTAATTCATTTATTCCCCACTTTTCTCCCCGGTGGGGGCCCCGAAGCGGCTTACGTCGTTCTCCCCTCCTCCATTTTTATCCCCACTACAACCCTGCGAGGTAGGTCGGGCCGTGACAGTGTGACTGACCCAAGGTCACCCAGCGAGCTTCCACGGGGCGAGTGGGGATTCGAACCTGGATTTCCCAGATCCTAGTCTGAGACTTCAACCAGAACACCATGCTGGTTCTCAAGACAAAAGATTGGCTACAGTTTTGATTCATAGAATCAGAGAATCCCAGAGGGGGAAGACCCAGTCCAACCCCCTGTTCAATGCGAGATCAGCCTGGAGCAGTGATGGCGAACCTTTTAGAGACCGAGTGCCCAAACGGCGACCCAAAACCCACTTATTGATCGCAAAGTGCCAACACGTCAATTTAACCTGAATACTGAGGTTTTACTTTAGAAAAAACAACTCATACATTAACTTAAGATGATCCAAACAAAGTAAGGAAAGCAATCCCAAATGCTTTCATTTACTTAAAATGATTTGGCAGATAATTCGACACTAATGATGTTCTGGGCCTGGCTGGGGCGATGGGACACGTGCCCACAGAGAGGGCTCTGAGTGCCACCTCTGGCACCCGTGCCATAGGTTCGCCACCACTGGCCTAGAGCATCCCTGACAAGTGTTTGTCCAGCCGCTGCTTAAAGATGGCCAGGGAGGGGGAGCTCACCACTTCCCCAGGCAGCTGATTCCACTGTGGCACAACTCTTGCTGTCAAAGTTTCCCCCCTAATATCCAGCCGGTACCTTCCCACCTGTAATTTAAACCCCATTATTGTGAGTCCTCTCCTCTGGTGCCCACAGGGACAGCTCCCTGCCCTCCTCTCTAAGCGAAAGCCCTTCAGATACTCCAAGAGAGCCATCCTGTCCCCCCTCAGCCTCCTCTTCTCCAGACTGAACATTCCCAAGCCCCTCGGGCCTTCTTCAGATCACGAAAGCCGCCGTGCCCCTCAAGACTAACCATGGGATTGTAGCCAAACCCCTCTTTGACTCGTTCCATCAAAAGCAGGCTTCGAATTAGTTTTCCCCGGCTCCGGAGTCGATGGGCCACGGGGCACACGCCGTGTGCTGTTGAAGGCGATGCAAAGAGGAAGCCCAGCCTTCTCCCAAGGGAGGCCACGGTCAGCGCCAGGGCAGAATTGCCGAGTGACGACATGGGCTGAGATAACAGAGCAGCCAAGCTTAATAAAGCAGAGGGCCTCCCTAGGCGGCTTTGGAGTGTGTCTGATCAAAGCTGGTCTCATCCACGTCGTCATCTCGCCAGGCAGTCTCTCCGGAATTGAAATGGCGAGTATTTATTTGGCAAGTGATCTCCTGGGCTCCTTTGGGCTGGGAGCTCTTCCCGTAGAGGAGGAGCCGCCAATTAAACATTGTCGCCACACGTCCAAAGCAATACAGTTTGCAAAGAAACGCCGCAGGAAGTCACAGACGCCGCACCACTCCTACCAGCCCGCCTGGCCTTGCGTGCGTTTAGTCTTCCTTATGCCGTGAAAGAGGTAAAGCGTGCAGTTCTGCCCTTCCCTGGCATCTGTGTGTGTGCAGAGTACATCTTGCTTTGGGAAGGAACTAAAGAGAATCACCCTCCCACTGCCTAGCACAAGCTGCAGCCCTGCCCTGACCCCCCCCCCTGCTTTATCTTACAACTTAATAGCGGTGGTGGTAGAAAGTGCCATCAAGTCACAGCTGACCACCTAGGCAGTCTGGTGCAGTGGTTAAGAGCACGGACTCTAATCCGGGAGAACCGGGTTGGATCCCCCACTCCTCCACATAGCAGCTGCTGGTGTGACCTTGGGTCAGTCACAAGTTCTCTCGGAGCTGTTCTCTCAAGGGCAGTCCTCGAGAGAGCTCTCTTAAAAAAAGAAAGAAAAGGAAATGGTCTCAATTTATAGAGTACATAGCTGCATCTGATATCCAACCACATAACCCGATACATCTCAAAATGATTTCATGTACTTTTGGGGGTCTGGCTGAGTTGCACCGACGACATCATCGTTGTTTATCTGATCTTCCAGGAATATAAAATCAGTTACCAGAAAGCTTTTTAAAGAGTACACAAATTGATTAAAAAATGTTTAATTCTTACGAGCACTGTTGATACCGACACAATATTAAGACGGTTATATTGTTTGGTGTCGTGGTTAAGTGCGCGGACTGTAATCTAGGAGATCCGGGTTTGATTCCCCACTCCTCCACTTGCACCTGGATGGATGACCTTGGGCAAGCCATAGTTCTGATAAGAGCTGTCCTTGAAAAAGAGCAGTTTCTGTCAAGAGCTCTCTCAGCCCCACCTGCCTCTCAGGGTGTCTGTTGTAATTTATAGAGTACATAACTGCATCTGATATCCAAAAACATAACCCGATACATCTCAAAATGATTTGTACCTAACTAAATATATTTCCTGTACTTTTGGGGGAGTCTGGCTGAGTTGCACCGACGACATCATCGTTGTTTATCTGTATAAAATCAGTTACCAGAAAGCTCTTTAAAGAGTACACAAATTGATTAAAAATTGTTTAATTCTTACGAGCACTGTTGATACCGACACAATATTAAGACGGTTATATTGTTTGGTGTCGTGGTTAAGTGCGCGGACTCTAATCTGGGAGATCCGGGTTTGATTCCCCACTCCTCCACTTGCACCTGGCTGGATTACCTTGGGCAAGCCATAGTTCTGATAAGAGCTGTCCTTGAAAAAGAGCAGTTTCTGTCAAGAGCTCTCTCAGCCCCACCTGCCTCTCAGGGTGTCTGTTGTGGGGAGGGGGAGGAAAAGGAGTTTGTAAGCCGCTCTGAGACTCCTTCGGGTGGTGAAGGGCGGGGTATAAATCCAATGTCTTCTTCTACCCTCCCATTACTAAACGAGTAATGTATTGAAACATATTTTGACTCTAGTTTGCAAAATTTTGTAATTTCTACTTGTAATTCTGTATTATTTTTGAAATATCAATAAACAGTGAAATACCTGGTGGGCGGGGAAGAGAGAGAGCTCTCTCAGCCCCACCTCCCTCACAGGGTGTCTGTTGTGGGGAGGGGAAGGGAAAGGAGATTGTAAGCCGTTCTGAGACTCCCAAGTGAAGGGCGAGGTATAAATCCCAATCTCTTCCTCTTTTTCAAGGCAAGAGACATTCAGAGGTGGTTTGCCATCGCTCGCCTCCGCAGCACAACCCTGGTATCCTTGGGAGGTCTCCCATCCAAATACCAGCTAAGGCTGACCCCTGCTTAGCTTCCGAGATATGACAACGTTGGCCTCGCCTGGGCTGTCCAGGTCAGGATAGCTTAATGGTGCTGACACAGGTAGAGCAGGTAGAGAAAGAGGTACTTTTCTCCCTTTCTCACAATACAAGAACTCATGGGCACTCCATGAAATTGCTAAGCAGTCGGGTTAGAACGGATGAAAGGAAGTACTTCTTCACCCAAAGAGTGATTAACACTTGGAATTCCCTGCCACAGGAAGTGGTGGCGGCTACAAGCATGGACGGCTTCAAGAGGGAATTGGATAAGCATATGGAGCAGAGGTCCATCAGTGGCTATTAGCCACAAGGTATAGATAGGAACTCTGGGGCAAGTGATGCTCTGTCTTCTTGGTGCTTGGGAGGGCTTCTAATGTCCTGGCCCCACTGGTGGACCTCCTGATGGCACCTGGTATTTCTGGCCACTGTGTGACACAGAGTGTTGGACTGGATGGGCCTTTGGCCTGATCCAACATTGGCGTCTCCTATGTTCTTATGACACCATAAAACACAGTTTTAATATAAGCCACATTGAGGTTGCGAAGAACTGCCCTAAACAAATAGGATTCTCTTGTTGCACTAAAGTGATTCCTCCCTCCTTTTTCCTCCCCAGAGAACAAATAAAAAGAGTGAAAGACTCCGAAGACGTCCCCATGGTGCTAGTAGGAAACAAATGCGACTTGCCTTCCAGGACGGTCGACACAAAACAAGCTCAGGACTTAGCGAGAAGTTACGGAATCCCTTTCATCGAAACGTCAGCAAAAACGAGACAGGTAAAGTGTGTCCGGGGCGGGGCGGGAATGTGTGCCCACTGTCCTAAAACGTTCTGCCGGAATGAGCGGCATCGGGGAGATCCGCAATACCAGCCGTGGCAGATTCCTCGCAAACCTGTTGAACCAGTGAAGCTGCCCGACCTGGATGTCCCCGGCGAGCCCCTGATCTTGTCAGATCTCGGAAGCTAAGCAGGGTCGGCCCTGGTTGCTCTTTGGATGGGAGACCAGCAAGGAAGTCCAGGGTTGTGGCGCAGAGGCAGGCGATGGCAAAACCGCCTCTGAACGTCTCTCGAGAATCCCAACAGGGGGGTCACCATTAAGTTGGCGGCAACCTGACGGCACTTCCTGCATCCCTGCGTGTACCAAGTTAATTCACTGGCCCAGCTAACTCGGTCTTGTCCATTCTGGGGGTGTCAAACATAAGGCCCGGGGGCCGGAAGCGGCCTGCCCAGAGCTCTCATGCGGCCCGCAAGCTACTAGTGCAAGGGAGGGAGCAGAAGACTGCTTGGGGAGGAGTGGGTGGATCCACCCTGATTGCGGCTTCAGCGTGGCGGAACAACCTCATCCGCAGCAGTGTGGGAGCATCTGCCCAGTGCTGCACCGCTGGCTCTCCAGTCTGCCCATGTGGGTTTTCCTTTGCACCCCCCTCCCAGTCCGTGGGGACCTGCCGTGAGGATACACCAACTCAAATCATACCAGCTGCTGCCCTTTATACAGTTTATAGCTCTGGTACCCGGCATTACGTTTTATGGCACACATGGCCTGGCCCGACAAGGAGAAGAAGAGATTGGATTTATACCCTGCCCTTCACTTGGAGTCTCAGAGCGGCTTACAAACTCCTCTCCCTCCCCCTCCCCACAACAGGCACCCTGTGAGGTAGGCGGGGCTGAGAGAGCTCTGGCACAAACTGCTCTTTTTCAAGGACAGCTGTGCCAGAGCTTGTGACTGACCCAAGGTCACATCAGCAGGTGCGAGTGGAGGAGTGGGGAATCAAACCCGGTTCTCCCAGATTAGAGTCCGCACACTTAACCACTACACCAAACTGACAAAGTGGCATTTATGTCAGATCCGGCCCTCGTCACAAATGAGTTCGACGCCTCTGGTTTATTCTGACCAGCCGTGCCTCTCCGGAGTATTAGCTGAGTTCCTCTCAGCGGGAGATTAGGGGGTCTTGAGCCCGGCCTCGGCCCGAGGGGCACGGAGCTCCGGCCCCTTCCCCAGTCTGTCACCCCCCTTAAGGTTTAAGACGGGTAGAGACCGATTTCCGTCATCATTGCCTTCTCAGTTATACGGCCTGGACTCTCAGAGCGAAGGCTCCCTTGCATTCCACGGCCAGGACTCGTCTGGCATGAATCTGCACAAACATCTGGTGCGCGCTAAACGGCAGAATGCCGCAGCTGCAGTTTTGTCTGAGTTATTTTTAGTCATTTTCATAACAGCGGGTGTTACCCAAGAGCTTCTTCCCAGCTGTATAGATAGCAGATTGAAAGGGGGGGGGGGGATAGGTTTTTAGGTTTGCAGTAATCCTGACCGAGCCCAAGCTTCTGCTGAACAGCCCTGGGCATGGCACGCAGTCTGGGTGAGCTTTCTTAGTTTCTGCTGTTCATTAGACCCGAAGGTGTGAATAGGACAGTTGGGAGAGGACGAACGCTGCTTTATAGCTGTGGGTTTTTGGGGTTTTTTGCTTCCTAGACTCTGTGATAACCTCACCTCGATACGGAAATCTTTTGTGTTTCTCTCCTGTGATCCTTTTTACCGAAATGAAATGATTTTTTTTAAAAAAATCCAGCCGCAGTATATCAGGAATGTGTCCAAGGCTGCATGTACGCACTGCGTGAGGTAGATTATTTGGTCTTCAGTACAGAATTTGGAAGTTTGCGAACCAGCCTAAGCATCTAGTCCTCAAGGTGGCAGGACAAGGTTTGATAACACTTGGGCCAGTGTTGTTTGAAGGGGGGGGGGAGACTTTATAAGGATGTGGGAACTGGACTTGTGTGCCTCGTACGAGCTCACGCGGCAGAGAAGGCACCTGGCTAGAACTGGGGCAACATTTTAGAATTTGGGTTTTTTGCCCGCTCCGGTAAGAACACAAGAAGCTGCCTTATACTGAACCAGACCCTTGGTCCGTCAAGGTCAGTATTGTCTACTCAGACTGGCAGCGGCTCTCCAGGGTCTCCGAATGCGGTCTTCCATCACCCATTACTTGATCCTTTTAAAACTGGAGATGCCAGGGATTGAACCTGGGACCTTCTGCATGCCGCGCAGATACTCTGCCCCTGAGCCACAGTCAGTACCACCCAGTAGCCCCACGAGAAGAAGAAGAAGAGAAGAGATTGGATTTATACCCCGCCCTTCACTACCCAAAGGTGTCTCAGAGCGGCTTACAAACTCCTTCCCCTTCCCCTCCCCACAACAGACACCCTGTGAGGTGGGTGGGGCTGAGAGAGCTCTTGACAGAAACTGCTCTTTTTCAAGGACAGCCGTGCCAGAGCTTGTGACTGACCCAAGGTCACATCAGCAGGTGCAAGTGGAGGAGTGGGGAATCAAACCCGGTTCTCCCAGATTAGAGTCCGCGCACTTAACCACAACACCAAACTGGCGGTGTTAGTGACTCTGGAGCCAAGCGCACAGCAGGAAACCCTCTTCTCATCCGTGCCTTTTTGGAACTTCAGAAAGAGTTTGTAAGGTGGCTCCAAACGGCTGCCATTCTGGGAACCCGAGACCACGATTGCAATTGTCCATGGGTACCCAGCTGAGCTCCCAAAGAGTACTGGATGATGATCTCTGGGTCTGACCTCTTGCAAGGGTCTCAGGGCATGCATAGAGCTCACCTGCCCTCAGGCTTCCCTACTGGCTTTAGAGGATGTGAACACACAAATCTGCCTTATACTGAATCAGACCTTTGGTCCATCAATGTCAGTATTCATAGAATCATAGACTCATAGAGTTGGAAGCGGCAAAAGAGACCATCTAGTCCAACCCCCTGCCCAATGCAGGACCAGCCTAAAGCATCTCTGACAAATTGTCTACTCAGACCGGCAGTGGCTCTCCAGGGGTCTCAGGTGGAGGTCTTTCACATCACCTGCTGCCTGGTCCTTTTTAACTGAAGATGCCTGGGATTGAACCTGAGGCCTTCTGTATGCAAAGCAGAGACTCTGCCTCTGAGCCAAAGCACCCCTCCGTACTGGAGTACTTAAGGAACTTTGCTACTGGACGCACATCATTCACTTTACAGGAAGGCCAGCTCTTCTCCACCATCTTTGTCGTCCTTCCTCCAAGTTCTGGCAGCTAAAACTCTCACAAAGCATGCATACGCAGCACATTGGACGTGGCTTCCTCGATTTGCCTCCATCAATGCCCAGTTTAGAAATCCAATATTGTCCGCAGTGCAAAGAACACTCAGCCTTGAATATATTTCGCGTGACGTTGGTATCTAGCTTCTGTGTCTTCTTGTAATTATGGTGTAACTTGGTTTACAGTATCGCTTGCTTAAAAAGGGAAATCACTTGATTTTGCTTGACGATAGAATCGTTTTCCTTTGCTATAAATGTTTGATTTTGTGTACCCCCCCTTTAAGATATTGAACTTCAACAGGCTTTTTAAAGAGCTACGCCAAACAGTTTGTTTCAGACTCGAAGTAGTGCTTTGCCAATATGATTGTACGAGGGGGAGTTTCTTAACATTCATTACTGGCATCAGAAAGTGGTATTCCGTCAGGTGCACGGCTTAATACTTCAATGAAGCAAAATACGGATTCCAGCGTGTTTTCGACAAAGTGCCCTCCTCGGTGGAGATCAGGGTTCCCTCTAAGCTGAGTTAGTGTGAGCTAGCCCACAGTTTTTTAGCCTCCAGCTCACAGATTTTTGCCTTAGCTCAGGAAGGAGGGCTCCAGAGCAAACTAATTTGTGCAGTAGCCAAGCCGCTCGCTCACCACTTTAATGCCACTAGCTCACAAGCTCACAAAGTAGAACTTTTGCTCACAAGACTCCACAGCTTAGAGGGATCATTGGTGGAGATGTATTAGATTTACTCTTTTGCTCACTGCTGAAGGAGCTAGGACTGTCCCCTGTGTCCGTGTAGTGGCCTGAAATAGCATAGAGTGGCATCAGGCACTTGTTCTAGAGAAGAATTCTGAAATGTTGGCCCTGAAGACAACATTCTAACCTTGCGTGCGGGACAGCTCAGACAGCAGAAGTGGGATTGGGAAGGCTGGCCCGTGGGGCACGTGTTCGCTACAGCGTGAGCCCAGAGCACATGTGCAAATAAAGTGTACATTGGAGCAGTCTTGCTCACAGGGACAGATGCCAGGCACATTTGTACATGTGCAGACTACATGGGGGCCACAGTGGCTCAAACGTTAAGACCCTGAGTTGCAGACCGGAAGGTCGATAGTTCGGCAGTCCGAGACCCGAGTGCCACGTGACGGAGTGAGCTCCCATCTCTGGCCCCAGCTCCTGCCAACCTAGCCGTATTGGAGCAGTCTTGCTCACAGGGACAGATCCCAGGCACATATAATTTGTACATGTGCAGACTGCATGGGGGGCACAGTGGCTCAAACGTTAAGACCCTGAGTTGCAGACCGGAAGGTCGATAGTTCGGCAGTCCGAGACCCGAGTGATCGCCCCCTAGAGTCGGATTCGACTGTCTTTCGAGCAAGGGGAACCTTTACCTTTACCTTTTTTAGGCTGCATTACCCCCATTATGACATCCCATTGGGGCTAGCAGTGTTGATCTCGCTCCCTCTTTCCACTTCTTTTCCTGTATGTTCATATGCCATGCATATGGGGCGTATGCGGAAACGCGCTGGAACCTCTACGGAGTTTAGATTTTATATCCCGTGCCTGTCAGAACATCTCTTTTTGGGTCCTGGACGCGTGTGCGATCCTGCCCCTCTCCTCCCGTTTTGGAGCACCCCTCCAGCCAGTGTGAACCACGGTGAAGCATTAGGTTGGTACCAGTGTAGTCCATGGTGAAGGGTGATGAGGATTCTTTCTTTATGC